CTATTAAAATTTGAAATTTCTAATGCCATTTATATATATTTAAAAAAAAAAAAAACATGCTGTTAATCTAATTTATAATTTAAATCATAATTTTGATAAATAATCTAAAATAAATTAATAGTTTTTATCAATTTTAAATTTAAAAATTATTTTAATATATCCTACAATATGCCTTTAAAAAAAAAAAAAAAAAGTATTTATCATTTAATATCTCCAAATAAAACAATTATTTTATATCAATTAATGTGTCTTATAAAAATAATTTAAATATATAACGATTATTAAATCATGAAATCAAAAAAAAAAAAAAAATTACAAAAAAAGACTATATGCTACATGATAAAAATAAAATCGAAATAACCAAAAGAACTCAAATTCCATCTAATTAAATAATCTTTTATCATGTACTAGCTGTCTAACAAAAAAATAGTATAAAACTAAATATTATAAAAAAATGGGAAAATTATATTATAAAAAATAGAGAAATAAAATTCAATGTATTTATAGTTTATAAAAATTATCATATTATAATATGATATTTTTAGACTATGTTAAAGCATATTTTCTATTTATCTCATAAAGAAAAAAAATTTCATTTTTAATTTTTTCAAAATTTTAAAAAAGCTTTTATTGTAGTTTTTTTCTTATAAAAAATAATGATGGGTCGATTACAAATTTAGAATAAAGACTTACTAAGTTACAAGTATTTTAATAAGTTTAGTCAGTATGTAGCGTGGTTGGGGATACAGCTTGTGCAGATGGTTATGCGCTACTCCCGCGCTAGACCCAACATTAGACTAACATAGTCTAAAATACTATAAAAAAAATAATGCAAACCATTCGATGTATCAAAAGTTATTAGATTTTTCAAAGATCCGTGGACCACTCTGTATTCATATATATTTTTTTTTTTGCCACTATAGTATTTCAATTATAATTAGTAAAATCTAAACATAGTACTATGTTTAAAATAATACATATTTACTTCCCTGATAATATTGCAAGTTGACATTCCAAGACAAGATTAAAAAAAAAAAAAAACAGAAACTATTTATATAATAGAAGAATTATTTTTATTTTTCTTTAAAATTTTTAAATTAATGGTGAAATATTTTTGGGAGTGTTGATTTTATGCCAGAGGATGCTAAACAGCTCATCTTCATCTTCGTACACATTTACCATTTACACCTTTCCATTTATTGTGTTACGACAAATTCAAATAAAAATTATTTATTGGTGAATACTGGAATACATTAAAATAATTGGATTTTTAGTTCCCATAATTATACCATAAAAAGTTCGTCCAAAACAGAGCTTATTTAAGGAATTTAAGGAATTTAAAAGCTTTATTTTCAAGGTGAGTTCGAATTTGACTAACGTTAATATCCCCAAAAACTACACATAAGACTAGGGAATTTTCTCTTATGTAAAATCCCTCTTCAATTCTGGATACATTAGAAGCAGTAGCGTAGGTATACAATTTTGGTCGAAATGCAAAAAATATATAAATATCCTGGAAAGTCAAAAAAGTTTCTTAGATAAAGATCCACAGTCGCATTTTAAGCATTCCTCTGTTTGTGCCAATGATTATAAGGACTTATCACTGAAATATTAGCTAAATCAATATTGCGACTGACCAGAAGTAGGCAAAATATTTCTTTACGATTTTAGCCGCTTTTAGAAAAGTATAATTTTTATTTAGTTATGAATATCTAAAAAAATTATATGAAGATGGTTTTCTAATCATGAAGTAGAATAGATCCTAAAAATATTTAAAGGATATTCTTAATTAGATCATTTTCTAAAAAAAATTTTTCACTATTTAAAAAAATTATATTGACACCCCTATAAGTTATAAAAATTGATCCTAAAAATAATTTATAACTTGATAAATCAAGAGAAACATGCAACTAAAAATATTTTAATTTTCTCATCATTGAAATTATTTTGAGAGGAATTAAGTGGGTTATAAGAAATGAATCACCTTGTATAAACATACAAATAATAATTATAAAATGCAAAATATATACTAAGTACATATTTGTTTGCACACAAATAGTAATACATATAACTTGTAATAAGTAGTTATAAATAATTTAGTCTACATTTGATCGAATTATTATTCGTATTCTTTTAATATATTGGTCGTAATAATAATTCTTTGGATATTTTACCATTAGAAAACATGTATAAACAAGAAACTCAAAATTTTGCTAATATAAAGTTACGACATTAAAATCATTGTCATTTCTTACTGTAGAGTGGGTTTGATACGCATGCGTGAATGTAAAAGTTGAAGTTTAACTACTCCTGGATTTAACAATAGATTTTTACAATTATAATCAAATTTTATAATACACTCAGTTGAGTAGATATTTTTAACAATTTTTTAATTGTTTTTTTTTATTTTAAGTAAATCATTAAAATTAATTCAGTTCTACATATTTCAATTGTACAATCTTTTATTTACCAAAAGTTAATTAGGAATGATTACTATGATTTCAATTAAAGTGATCTATTACGATAAAAATGAAAACAAAAATCGAGCTTCTCTGATAAATTTACTGTAATTAGTAATTACAATACCATTTATTTTCTATTTAATGATATCAATTTCAAACTTGAAAGTTGAGCTAAAAGTTATGGTAATAAATTCATTCTTTTCTTTTATTATAAATTTTCACTTTAAAGAACAAAAATAAGTAGGTTAAAAATTACTACTTTTAACATATTAAAAATGAAAATCAATAATAATTTGAAAAAAAATAATTATAAACATTCTATATTATATTTTTGAATCTATGAATTACTAATCTGGATATATTACGGAAATAGAAGTTGCTTTTGTAATTATTCACCAATTTCTTAGGATAAAACACCATCTACAGACTTGCATCGAAGCGTTTCTTATAATTGTGATTTTAATCACTGTCATATTAAATCTTTACTGGACTCAACTATGCCTCGTCCATACTGTGCCACGACCCCACTGTGCTAGGTTTTTTTTTAATTATTTTTACAGTTTTAAATATTGTTTTTAATTGATTTTTTCTTATTAGAATAAATATTATGAAATATACTTTAATCTAGTCCAAAACTGTAAAATTTATTTTTATAATAGTCACAAAAATATTTGTTGGCTTAAAAATTTAAACTTGTCAAATAATTGTAGAACACCTGTATATTTATGTATATTTTATTATTTACTATATAATAAAATTAAAGAATGTGAAAAAAATATATCATGTGGATGATTCTTTACTTATTTTAATGATAAAATTAATAGTAAAACTATTTTATATTCAAGGTTACAGAAAACTTTGTCTCATATTAAAAATATTAGATGTTGAATTAACTCCAAATCTGTTAGAGTATACTCTCTTAATTGTCTATCTATTGTGATATTAACATCAAGCCTATCCTAAGTTAAAATCTACATGCCATATTATTTATTTTTACCATTATTCGATTTGATTTAATTAATTATTTCTATACGATTAACACAAAATATTTTTTGGATTAAAAATTATTAGATTTGTCAAAATATTATAGACCATCCTATATATTTATTTATGCTTACTTTTATATTTTATTATAAAATTAAAGAATATGAAAAAAACAATAAATTATGTCGATGATTCTTTAAGTAACCACCAATTTAACCCAAAAATTGTCTTTAGTTACAGAATATACCACTTATAGTAAGAATGAAGGTGAGTAATATACTTTACATAAAAAATTCGATTGAAATCTAAAAAAATATTATACTTTATTCTAGAATTGGCAAAATATATGTTTTTTGTTGATAATTAGCTGTTTGATATTTAATGAAGGTAAACTATATTTTACATTATGTATGCCTATAATGTTTATGGAGTCATTTTTAAATTGAATGATGTTCGAAAGAAAGAGCATTAGACAAAAGTGACTTGTGTTCAGGAGAAACATTAAACTTAGTATATAAAACAATTTTTGCTTAATTTCAGTTCTATTTTTAAATTTATTTAATTTTAAATTTATCTAATATTTTAAAACAAATGTTGATTTTTAAAATGATATACTCTTTATACTAATTTTCTACATAATTAATGTATAATATAATAATGAACACAATTGATTTATGTCCTTTTTCTCAAACGCCTTTTCTAAAGATAATTTTATTATGTTGACTCTTAATAAGAATGTTTTAAAAACTGTCATCACAAGTTTATGTATTGTTTATCTTTTGTGTTTTTAAAAAAAGACAGATATTTTGATCTGTATAAATTCAAAAAAAAAAAAACGCAGTACAGGGGAGTAGTGGCACAGTGGTGACGTGGCATAGTTCGATCAAGTAATAATAATATCTGGCAGTGATTAAAATCACAATAAAAAAACAATTCGATGCAAATCTTTAGATACTGTTTCCTTATTAATATCCTGATTAAGATAAAGTATGTCGAATGAAAAAGGGATATAAATATTATTTTTCATAAAAAAATTGTGTTGATCTATACACTTTTCAATAAGTTTTAGTATTATAAAGTTAAAAATGTAAAAAATAAAACGGGAATTTTCACACAAAAATAGCATTCGGTAGCCATATTTACCGCGAAGATTTTTTTTTCATAATAAATTATATTACATTAGCTTCAATTTAAGATATATATAAAATTGTCAGACTTTCCGGACCACTTTCAAAAGTTAATTTTTTGTGAAAAAGTTGTCATTTTAAATCCCCCTCTGTGGGCAGGTAAAGGGTTAAATTTATGAAAAACATATACCAAATGATAGTTAAGGACAGCATGCATCCTAAAAAAAAAAATTTATTTCAACTTGACTTTCAAACTATGCCAAGTCACCACTGTGCCGCGACCCCCTTTATGCTGGGTTTTTTTTACATTATTATTGTATATGCCTAATAAGTTGATTTAGTGATTTTTAAATAGATCAGTGTACAGGTAAAAGGGCATTAGACAAAAATGGCGTATTTTTTTCGGTATCTATGGACTTAAAATGTCAGCTCCTTGCTTAATGATCGTCAAAGTTCACAAATTATATTTATTATAATTATAATTATTATATTACAAATAATCATATCAAAATAATTTGAATACATAAAAATTGCTTTGGTATATTTCTTTTATTTGATATAATATTTTCGAAAATATGACCCTTATCAGCTCACAAAAAGGGATTTAAAATAACAAGTTTTTTACATACCTCAACTTTTTCAACTTAACTTTTGAAAATGTTACGTAAATACTGCATATTTTAAACATATGTTAAATTAAAGCTTTTACTTTATATATTATAAGTTAAAAAAACCAGCATTGTGTGGTCGAGGCACAGTAGGAACATGGCATATTTGGGTCCAATATAGATGAAATCTGACAGTGATTGAAATTACTATCATAAAAATCGAACAAAATCTGTAGATCGTGATTAAATTTAAGAAGTTGGTTAGAATTTTAATTTATTCTAGAATTTCGATATGTTTTTTGTTAATAATTATCTGTATATTACCTGATATTTAACGAAGGTAAACTATATTTTACATTATTATTGTATATGCCTAATAAGTTGATTTTATAGCCCGAAAAACTGATTTAGCGACCCTTGGTGAGATTCTCCAGTATTTTTTGTTGTATTTGATTGGTTAATATAATACATTCTGTTATTCTAACAGTTATCTTAACTTAGTTTTATTATTGTTCTACAATTATAATAACAGATAATCATAAATTGAATTGTAATCGAGGTCGGCCTATAAGAATGTGTTTATAAAGTATTTTTCGGTGTTGCAAAACCGGAAAGTGGGCCGACAGCGACTGTTGTAATTCATCGTTAGTCATTTAACAACTATTGTGCGATTACTATTACTTTTTAATAAACTAATTAATTATTAATTCGGCAATACTGTTTTATTTAATTCTATTTGTTACTTTCGTAACAATTCTTTTACGTGGACGTTTCATGGATTACGTAAGAGAATAGTTGAATTTTGTGTAAGGGTATAATTTTTTTATTCTTCTTATCCACGGAAAAACACTGAATAGGTGATATATTTTTATTAAGTATATGTATTATTTATTATAACAATTGCATTTAATATATATGTATGTATTCAAATATTATTGCTGCTTATTTGTACAGCTTTTGTCTTTCTTCTACTCTCATATCTGATTATGATTCTATTCTACTGAAAGCCGCGAATGCCTCTATACCTATTTTCAAAATTATTAAAAAACGAGATTGACGACTCATACATATTAGGCCAATTTAACTTTAAAGTTAATAACTAATGTACTCGAAACAATGATTTATTTTATAAACCTCACACAACCAAAAAATATGCGTCAAAAGACCCANCCTCATACAACCAAAAAATATACGTCAAAAGACCCAATAAATATATTAATGTCCGTAGGAAATAGTCAATAATTTCCTTTATTATTATATTTATTATTACCATATACTCTATATATCTTTTATTATGTTTATATTATTATTTTCATTGTATTATATTATATTATATTATTATTTTCATTATATTATATAATTGTTATCATTGAATTATATTGTAAATTGGACATTTGTCCGTAGAAATGAATGAATAAATAAATAGACTCTTTTACCCCAAAATATTGCAGGCTTGTCTTTTGGCTAATAATACTAACCCTTTTGATTCTCAAACTTTCCCTATAATCCATTCAATTAGAGCAATCCTCCTCAAAATTTTCATCTCAAGTAAATAAGTTCAATTCCATTGGGTGTCTAGACAATGCGCAACACTCTTTCTATATTATTCTTCCTTTTTCTGATGCATTGCACTACTTAAATTATACTCTGGTGGAAACATGGATCAACAAGTGGTCTTCTCTTCCTAACAGTTTTACCCGATGGCATCGGTCCATCGTACCCAGTTTAGAAAGTTCTATGGTTCCATCAACTAGAACTTATTCGCATTATCATTTCTAGCTTTTCACGACTCAGACTGGATCATAATCTGGTACTAGATTATGATAAGTTCGTTTACAAATTAAACCTGAACTCTGTTCCCTTTTGCCATTTACATGAGGAAGAAGTCGTTGGAGATTTGCTCCACTTTTTATTGAATTGCTCCTCCTTAGCGTCTAGGTACCTGCTTATAAAATTTTTAGAATCCAATGGAATTTTCAATTTTGTTTCCTCTGTTNTAGAATCCAATGGAAATTTCAATTTTGTTTCCTCTGTCATACTAAATTCCCATTCTATTTCCGTGATTACTGCCATTATTTCTTTTCTATTGAATGCTAGTAGCATTATTTAACTACCTTATTATATATTATAATTTATTTTACATACTTTACCTTCGTTATACTAATTAACACTTATTATTTTTGTAATTCATAGTGCTAATTAATACTGTATCATCTAATTGTTATGCAATTGACGATCCTTAATATTTTCATAATAAAAGCTAACACCAAAAAAATTTTCCGTAATCATTTGAACATAGAAGATAAGTCATCGGGACAATTTTTTTTTTTAATTAAAAGCGTTACATAAGTTTTAGTTCGACATATGTTTAAAGGATGCAGTATTTCAAGAATAGTGTTAAAAGTTAAGTTGAAAAAGTTAGTTATTATGAAAAATTGCCATTTTAAAATCCCATCTAAGGGCAAGTAAACGGTCAGATTTTCAAAAAAATAAAATCAAATGATAGAAAAATATCTAAGCTTTCAAAAAAAAAAAAAGTTATTTTGATTCATTCATTTTTCAATAAGTTAGGTCAATTTATAGAGAAAATTTAATGATTTTAAAAATCGTAATTTTTGGAGGATTTTTGGACTATTTACCAGAAACGAGGGAAAAGCTTTTTGAGGATAATGTCTTTAAATAAATACGATTTGTGATCTTTTGAGAAAAATCGGTCCAGTGAAAGCTGAGAAAAAATAGTAACAGAAAAAAAAAATAAACACATCATGGTAAAATTAATATTTTTTCATCTTCTCATAGAAGCTAAAATCTTAATTTGAACTTTAATTGAAGTTATAATTTCAATTTTCCAAGAACTTCGGGTAATAAATATTATAACTGCACTATAATACTGTTTAATGGATATTTTTTAATAATATAAATAAAATTTATGTTCAGCAAATATTAATAATATATTGTGTTCATTTAGGGATTGAAATTAGAAATTTGAAAAACAAAAATNTAGGGATTGAAATTAGAAATTTGAAACAAAAAAAAATATGCCCATTCGAAAAAGGCACAACGAGAAAAGCTGCTGCAAGTGGTGACATAGAAAAATTAAAACTAGCTCACGAGAGTGGCTGTGAATGGGATGAATATACAACTACTGAAGCTGCTGCAAATGGGCATTTAGAATGTTTAAAATATGCACATAAAAATGAATGTCCATGGGATAAAGAAACAACAAGGGCTGCTGCTGCAAATGGACATTTAGAATGTTTAATATATGCTCATAAAAATGAATGTCCATGGGATAAAGAAACAACAAGGGCTGCTGCTGCAAATGGGCATTTAGAATGTTTAAAATATGCATATAAAAATGAATGTCCATGGGATAAAGAAACAACAAGGGCTGCTGCTGCAAATGGACATTTAGACTGTTTAATATATGCTCATAAAAATGGATGTCCATGGAATAAAAGCACAACTGAAGCAGCTGCCATGAGTGGTAATTTAGAAATTTTAAAATATGTTCATAAAAATGGATGTAGATGGGATAACAACACAACAATGGCCGCTGCTGCAAATGGACATTTAGAATGCTTAATTTATGCACATGAAAATGGCTGTAAATGGGATGAAAAAACAACATTAAAAGCCGCCGAAAAAGGTAGTTTGGAATGTTTAAAATACGCTCATGAAAATGGGTGCCGCTGGAATAAATATACAACAACGCGAGCTGCATTACATGGTAATTTAGAGTGTTTAAAATATGCGCATGAAAACGGTTGTAAATGGGATGTAAGCACAATTACTGCAGCTGCGATGAGTGGAAATTTAGAAATTTTACAATATGCGCATAAAAATGGATGTACATGGGATGAAAGCACAGCAGAAGCAGCTGCAAATTATGGTAATCTAGAAAACTTAAAATATATTCATGAAAATAAATGTAAATGGGATAAAAAAACAACAAGGGCTGCTGCTGCAAATGGGCATTTAGAATGTTTAAAATATGCACACAAAAATCAATGTCCATGGGATAAAGAAACAACAAGGGCTGCTGCTGCAAATGGTCATTTAGACTGTTTAATATATGCTCATAAAAATGGATGTCCATGGAATAAAAGCACAACTGAAGCAGCTGCCATGAGTGGTAATTTAGAAATTTTAAAATATGTTCATAAAAATGGATGTAGATGGGATAACAACACAACAATGGCCGCTGCTGCAAATGGACATTTAGAATGCTTAATTTATGCACATGAAAATGGCTGTAAATGGGATGAAAAAACAACATTAAAAGCCGCCGAAAAAGGTAGTTTGGAATGTTTAAAATACGCTCATAAAAATGGGTGCCGCTGGAATAAATATACAACAACGCGAGCTGCCTTACATGGTAATTTAGAGTGTTTAAAATATGCGCATGAAAACGGTTGTAAATGGGATATAAGCACAATTACTGCAGCTGCCATGAGTGGAAATTTAGAAATTTTACAATATGCGCATAAAAATGGATGTACATGGGATGAAAGCACAGCAGAAGCAGCTGCAATCTATGGTAATCTAGTAAACTTAAAATATATTCATGAAAATGAATGTAAATGGGATAAAAAAACAACAATGGCTGCTGCTGCAAATGGGCATTTAGAATGCTTAAAATATGCTCATGAAAACGGATGTAAATGGGATCAAAGTACAATAAGGGCTGCTGCTGCAAATGGGCATTTAAAATGCTTAAATTATGCGTATAAAAATGGTTGCCAATGGGATGAAACAACAACTAAAGAAGCTGCACGAAAAGGTAGTTTAGAATGTTTAAAATACGCTCATGAAAATGGATGTAAATGGGCAGAAGGAACAACTAGAGCTTCTGCTTTAGAAGGTAATTTAGAAATTTTAAAATATGTCTATGAAAATGGATGCCAATGGGACAAAGGTACAACCTCTGCAGCTGTTATGACAGGTGACTTAGAAATGTTAAAATATGCACATGAAAATGGATGCGAATTCGATGAATTAATAACAATACAAGCTGCCGTTACTGGTGATTTAGAAATTTTAAAATATCTTCATGAAAATAAAAGTAAATGGGCAGAAGGAACAACTAGAATTGCTGCTTTAAAAGGTAATTTAGACTTTTTAACATATGCTCACGAGAATGGATTCCAATGGGATAATGGTACAACAAAAATTGCTGCAGAAAAGGGCTATTTAAACTGCTTAAAATATGCTCATGAAAATGACATTAATTGGGATAAAGGTACAATAGTTACAGCTGCTCAACATGGAAATTTAAATTGCTTAATATATGCACACGAAAATGGATACAAGTGGGAAGATGGCACAACTAGAGCTGCTGCAGCAAGTGGCTGTTTAAACTGTTTAAAATATGTTCATAAAAATGGATGTGAGTGGGATGAAAATGTAACGTCAGTAGCTGCTTCTTATGGTGATTTAGAAATTTTGAAATATGCTCATGAAAATGGATGTAAATGGGCAGAAGGCACAACTAGAGCTGCTGCTTCTTATGGTGATTTAGAAATTTTAAAATATGTCTATGAAAATGGATGCCAATGGGATAGAGGCACAACTAGAGCTGCTGCTTTAAAAAGTGATTTAGAAGTTTTAAAATACGTACATGAAAATGGATGCAAATTCGATGAGCAAATAGTGATAATAGGTGCCATTAATAGTGATTTAGACACTATAAAATATGCTCATATTAATGGATGCGAATTGGATAAATTAATAACAATACATGCTGCTTATAGAGGTGATTTAGACATTTTAAAATATGCTCATGAAAAGGGATGCAAGTGGCTAGAAGGAACAACTATAATTGCTGCAGAAAATGGCTATTTAGACTGCTTAAAATATGCTCATGAAAATGACATTAATTGGGATGAAGGTACAATAGTTACAGCTGCTAAGCATGGCAATTTAAATTGCTTAATATATGCACACGAAAATGGATACAAGTGGGAAGATGGCACAACTAGAGCTGCTGCAGCAAGTGGTTGTTTTAACTGTTTAAAATATGTTCATAAAAATGGATGTGAGTGGGATGAAAATGTAACGTCAGTAGCTGCTTCTTATGGTAATTTAGAAATTTTGAAATATGCTCATGAAAATGGATGTAAATGGGCAGAAGGCACAACTAGAGCTGCTGCTTCTTATGGTGATTTAGAAATTTTAAAATATGTCTATGAAAATGGATGCCAATGGGATAGAGGCACAACTAGAGCTGCTGCTTTAAAAAGTGATTTAGAAGTTTTAAAATACGTACATGAAAATGGATGCAAATTCGATGAGCAAATAGTGATAATAGGTGCCATTAATAGTGATTTAGACACTATAAAATATGCTCATATTAATGGATGCGAATTGGATAAATTAATAACAATACATGCTGCTTATAGAGGTGATTTAGACATTTTAAAATATGCTCATGAAAAGGGATGCAAGTGGCTAGAAGGAACAACTATAATTGCTGCAGAAAATGGCTATTTAGACTGCTTAAAATATGCTCATGAAAATGACATTAATTGGGATGAAGGTACAATAGTTACAGCTGCTAAGCATGGCAATTTAAATTGCTTAATATATGCACACGAAAATGGATACAAGTGGGAAGATGGCACAACTAGAGCTGCTGCAGCAAGTGGTTGTTTTAACTGTTTAAAATATGTTCATAAAAATGGATGTGAGTGGGATGAAAATGTAACGTCAGTAGCTGCTTCTTATGGTAATTTAGAAATTTTGAAATATGCTCATGAAAATGGATGTAAATGGGCAGAAGGCACAACTAGAGCTGCTGCTTCTTATGGTGATTTAGAAATTTTAAAATATGTCTATGAAAATGGATGCCAATGGGATAGAGGCACAACTAGAGCTGCTGCTTTAAAAAGTGATTTAGAAGTTTTAAAATACGTACATGAAAATGGATGCAAATTCGATGAGCAAATAGTGATAATAGGTGCCATTAATAGTGATTTAGACACTATAAAATATGCTCATATTAATGGATGCGAATTGGATAAATTAATAACAATACATGCTGCTTATAGAGGTGATTTAGACATTTTAAAATATGCTCATGAAAAGGGATGCAAGTGGCTAGAAGGAACAACTATAATTGCTGCAGAAAATGGCTATTTAGACTGCTTAAAATATGCTCATGAAAATGACATTAATTGGGATGAAGGTACAATAGTTACAGCTGCTAAGCATGGCAATTTAAATTGCTTAATATATGCACACGAAAATGGATACAAGTGGGAAGATGGCACAACTAGAGCTGCTGCAGCAAGTGGTTGTTTTAACTGTTTAAAATATGTTCATAAAAATGGATGTGAGTGGGATGAAAATGTAACGTCAGTAGCTGCTTCTTATGGTAATTTAGAAATTTTGAAATATGCTCATGAAAATGGATGTAAATGGGCAAAAGGCACAACAGAAACAGCAGCAAGATATGGTAATTTAGATTGTTTAATATATGCACACAAAAATGGATGCCAATGGGATGATGGTACAACTAAAGCTGCTGCCCAAGAGGGTGATTTAGACATTTTGAAATATGCTCATGAAAATGGATGTAAATGGGCAGAAGGCACAACTAGAGCTGCTGCTTCTTATGGTGATTTAGAAATTTTAAAATATATCTATGAAAATGGATGCCAATGGGATAGAGGCACAACTAGAGCTGCTGCTTTAAAAAGTGATTTAGAAATTTTAAAATACGCACATGAAAATGGATGCGAATTCGATGAGCAAATAGTGATAATAGGTGCCTTTAATAGTGATTTAGACACTATAAAATATGCTCATATTAATGGATGCGAATTGGATAAATTAATAACAATACATGCTGCTTATAGAGGTGATTTAGACATTTTAAAATATGCTCATGAAAAGGGATGCAAGTGGCTAGAAGGAACAACTATAATTGCTGCAGAAAATGGCTATTTAGACTGCTTAAAATATGCTCATGAAAATGACATTAATTGGGATGAAGGTACAATAGTTACAGCTGCTAAGCATGGCAATTTAAATTGCTTAATATATGCACACGAAAATGGATACAAGTGGGAAGATGGCACAACTAGAGCTGCTGCAGCAAGTGGTTGTTTTGATTGTTTAAAGTATGCCTATGAAAATGGATGTAATTGGGATGTAGATACAATAGTTACAGCTGCTGTTCATGGTAATTTAGATTGCTTACAATATGCTCATGAACATGAATGTAATTGGGTTGAAGGTACGACCAGAGGGGCTGCTGCTAATGGACATTTTGACTGCTTAAAATATGCCTATAACAATGGTTGTGATTGGGACGAAGGAACAACAAGAGAAGCTGCCGCTAGTGGTTGTATTAACTGTTTGATTTTTACACATAAAAAAGGATATACATGGGATGAAGGTACGATGAGTGCAGCTGCTACAAATGGTCATTTGGAATGTTTGAAATATGTTCATGAAAATGGATGTGAGTGGGATGAAAGCACAATAAGATTAGCTGCTGCAAATAATCAAATAAGTTGCATAAAATACGCTCATGAAAATAATTGTCCGTGGAGTAAAAATACCATTTNATTTTTCAAAAAGTTATGGAAGTTTTAAGAAAAAAAAGTGAAAAAATTTCGAAAATTAGCGATTTTTAAATTTGTAATTTTTTTGGATATTTCCCCCATTTGCGGGGAACGAGGGAATTTTTTTCAATTTTTAAGGGTAATGTTTTCAACTAGATACAATTTGTGATCTTTTGACGTATTTTTGAAAGAAATCGGTCCAGTGAGAGCTGAGAAAAAGTGGCAACAGACATAAAAAAAAATAAAAAAAAAAAAAAAAACACATCATAGTAAAATTAATACCTTCTCCGCTTCGCATCGAAGCTAAAATTACTATAAAATAGCGGATAAGTAATAACTGAAGAAAAGTTCAAGTTTTTATTAAAATTTTAAACCCTCAAATACCTAAACTATATGCTTTGCTAAAAATACATAAACCGGGAAGTAATATGAGACTTATTGTGTAAAATATTAATGCCTCGACTTACATTTTGGCTAAACACTTATTAATAATGTTTTCATCTATTCATAAATTAATTCTAATAGATTCTTTCTCTTATTTCAACTTTTTTCAGCTTAACTCCCATCCTAATAATCATGGTACAATTCTTGACCTTATATTTTCCAATTCTAATAATGGCACAGTAAACTTATCTTCAGAGACACTTGTATCTCCAGATCCCTACCACCCTCCTTTAGATATTAATTTTCCTTTCCATACAACATCCTACACTGATAATACACATACTTACAAAGATTTTAAATGTGCCGATTATAATAGTATATCTCAATTCTTTAATTCCTTCAACTGGGAGGCTACCTTCTCTCTTTACTCAATCAATGATGCTACCTCTGTTTTTAATGATGCAATCTTAAATTCCATTAATCTTTTTGTTCCTAATAAAATCTTTAAAACTCCCAAGTTTCCTCGTTGGGTAACACCCGCTCTAAAAAGACTTATTTTTCAAAAAAAACAAGCTCATTTTAATTTTAAGCGATCAAAAAATCCCAATTATTATTTAATTTTTTCAGAGTTTAGAGCTAAATGCAAGCGTATTTCCAAACTAAATTACCAGTCCTACATCAATTAATTTCAAAAAATACTTGTCCTTAATCCTTCTAAATTTTGGAAATTTACCAAAGATCTTAATAAACACTCTTCCATTCCTTCATCTGTGTATCACAATGGTGTAACCTCTTCCTCACCTACTGAATCTGCTAATCTATTTTCGAACCACTTTTCTTCTGTTTATAAAACCTCTCTTTCTTCTATTTCTGATCCGACTATTTATCCCACCTATCCTTATAATCTACCTGCAAATTGTCTTTTTTCTATCGATGATATCCAAACTCTGTTGGGTTCTCTAAAAAACAATGTCTGGAATGGTCCTGACGGTATCTCAGCTCAATTATTATATAACTGCCGTCTTTCTCTAGTATACCCTATATTTTTGCTTTTCAGGCGTTCTCTAGATGAAGGTATTTTTCCTGGAGTATGGAAGACTTGTTCCATCACCCCTATATTGAAATCCGGTGATCCGTGTCTTGTCTCTAATTACCGGCCAATTTCGATCCTGCCTCATATTGCCAAATTATTTGAATCTCTGGTCTATTCTAGTATAAAGCGAAGTCTTAACCATATCATCATTGAAGAACAACATGGTTTCCGTCCAGGTAAATCTACCGTATCCTGCAATTTGTCCTTTACAACTTTTATTTTAAACAGCTTCGAAAAAGATTATCAAGTTGATGCTGTCTTTACTGACTTCAAAAAAGTTTTTGATACAATTGACAGTCGTCTACTTGTATCTGAGCTTAAAATTCTTGGTATTGGTGACTCCTTACTTTCCTAGTTAGAGTCCTATCTTGCATCAAGAAAACAATATGTTTTTGTCAATGGTGCTAGGTCCAACATTATTGAAGTTCCTTCGGGCGTCCCCCAAGGCGGACACCTCAGTCCTCTCTTGTTTATTCTTTATGTAAACTCTATTAATAATTACCTTTCTAATTCCCGAGTCCTCTTATTTGCAGATGACATGGAAATTTTTACAAAAGTAGTTTCTCCTTCTGTTTGTTATTGCAAGCAGATCTTAATTCTTTTGTTTGCTGGATTAATCGGGTTGGCCTCTCACTTAATATAAGTAAATGTTATATTATGACATTTACCAGGAAGCGCGCTTCTATTTTATACTCCTACTCACTAGATAGTACTATGTTAGAGCGTGTATTTCAAGTAACTGACCTGGGATTCCACCTGACTCCTTTGCTATCTTTATAGTAGGCAAAGCCTTAAAAGTTTTAGGATTTTTAAAACGACATACTAACCTCTTTACTTCTCCACATTGTTTACGTTCCCTCTATTTTTCACTCGTTCGCTCTATTTTAGAATACGGAGTGGTTGTGTGGCATCCTATTTAGCTAAAGATCAACTCCGTATTGAAAGAGTACAGAATCGCTTTTTATCTTACGCCGCTTATTTACTCAAAATTATCCACCCCCCTCATGATTACTCCATTATTCGTTCCACACTTAATATCCCTACTCTTAGTTCCAGGCGATTTGATGCAGACCGTTCATTTATCGATGCTCTCCTTAATGGTCTAATTGATGCACCAGACCTTTTGTCTTCTATATCCTTTCGTGTTCCATCCTATCCCACTAGAAATCACTTTCCCTTTCATGTTCCCTCTCATCATACCTCCTATAATAATAATAATCCAATATACAGAATGCTACGCTCTCTCAATAATACTTAGTTTTTTGGTCACATTTACTTTTATAAAAAATTTAACTGTCTTATATTAATTATATATTATATTTATCTTATAAATCTTAATTTATTGTCATCATTATTTTGTTGTCATAGTTTCTTACTCTATGTTTTACATATATGCACGTACATTATTATTATTATTTTTTTCTCTTCTTTTTATTATATTATGTTATATATTTAGGTTACCATAATATTATTCCTGTAAATTGCCGTTTGGCGTTAAATAATTAAAATAAAATAAAAAAATTCTATAGCTTTTTTAGTTAAAAATAATATTGACTTAGTTCAAAAATTATCTGGTTATATTATTCAAAATAATGATAGGTTAATTTCTTTTGACGTTGTAGCCTTATTTTCAGGTATTACAATAAATTGGTCTTAAAGACTGATTAAAAAAACAACACATAGAACAGGATAAAAAATGAGCTTATTAATTCAACAAAGTTATGTATGGGTTAAAATGTTTTTCGGTATCAAAATAAATTTTATGAGTAAACATAGGGGACAGTAATGGAAAATCCGCTATCAACAATTTTAGCAAACTTTTTTATGATAAACTTTTTTTTATTTAATAGGATCGAAAGAAATTTAAATCACACTTATGGTGATTTTCCAAAAGTTTGGATTAAGTATGTTAATGATATTTTTGCAGTAATAAACAAACTTTTTAATGCAGTGACACGGTTCCGCGTCGCTTCGTGATACACGATGCCCCGCGACTCGTGCCACCTTTATCAGCCTTCGCCCTACTATAAGTATTTGACTGACCAACACCGTGTGCTATACGCGACGGTTCGAAGTACAGCAAGTGCCGCACTGGCGACGACAACCCGCCTCAAATGATACGTTGAGTCTTCTTCCCGTTGCTAAAGTAACAACGTCGAGGTTGTCGCCACCGGACTCGACGAACCCATTCGCACCCGCACACCGTCGCCATTAACGCTGCTTACATTTTGACGCCCGAAGATATTGCCGGACACCTCGTCGCCGACGCTAGTGAAAGTGCCGCGATATTATGCGAAAATTATTA